GTGTGTGTGTGTGTGTGTGTGTGTATTTAATCTTCCCCAAGATCTTATTGTGCTGTTATCTCTGAACTCCAGACATCTGTGACACGTGGCAGACCTTCTCTGCATCTTTCTATGTGTTACTATTCACACAGATAGAAAACAACACAAAATTAAGAATATTTTTCTGGCATCAAATTACACATCCCTAATCACATAAACAGTAAATACTGAGAATGTGTAGATTTATGTAAGTTCAGAAACATACATTTGTTTTTGATTTGAAAAAAAAAAAAGTATTATTCAGCATTAATCTACTCAGTAAAAGTATCACTAAAAGCTACTAAATAATCACATAGATCAAATTTTTCGCAGACTTATTTTCTTCTGAGAATGTAATCGGTCCATCGATATTTCGTTGGTTTTAATATTTCAGCAGAAAGCAGAAATAAACAGTGACCCTGGGTTTTTAAATTCAGAACTCCTCACCAAACATGCCTGAAGACTCGTCACCACCCAAACAGCCTCACTGTACAAGGGCATTATTTGACCACAATTTATTAATGTTCTCTTATACAAACAAGTAAAAAAAAAGAAAGAAGAAGAGTCTAGACACGGCCCCAGAGGAAATGATCATGCACTGAAGTAATATGAGGTGAGATCACGTCTTTATACTGTAAAAGACAGCACTGCTGGTTCCCACATCCCTGCATGAAGTACGGCATGTACTTTACAACATGACTCGCTTTTATTACCATTTAAATATCATAATAGTATATACACATAGTATGTATATAAGCCCACAGCAAGACAGTGAGAGATTAGCAAATTGTGAATATTTCCATCTGTCCATCTTAAAATTCTTGAAGAAAGCATTAATGACCCAGATCATTGTACATGTGCCCAAATTGTTTTGTATTTAAATGGTTATAACCCATTACTGTACTGTAATAAAATTAAAGGGTTAGGGTTAATGTTCCGTGCCAATATTTTCTTGTCAGTGTGAAAACCTGTTGTCAATTTCAACAACTCTATATAGCTCACACTTGGCTATAAGGCTTTTTGTCAATATTTGCACAATAAGTCAGTGAGTTGACCTTGAAGACCTTGGTGGATGTAAGCCAGATTTTAATGGATTGTTAACATGACCCCACTCTACACCTCTACTAAGTTTTATCAGAATTGTTTCAAAACAGTTTGAGCTATGGTGTTTACAGATAGAATGACACTATCAAAATCCTACCTACCACCTTGGCGCAGGGAATAAATATTTGGAAAGCAGTAAGGAATTCAAGGATTCAGCAGAGACTGAAGGATGTATATGATGAGGCAAAGCTTTCCCTAATCTGTAATATTTATCTTTGAAACTCCAAACATCTGGAAGTTCCAAAGACTCATGGAGCAGTTAATCAACCCAGTACAAACCGATCATTCTAGATTTTTAATTGCATGAAAGTTTACTTTTGATAACTTTATTTAGAGCCACATCTCTCTTGCTTGCTTCTGTATTTCTGTGCATGTGTCTGTGTACCAGCAGAGCCATGTGCTTCTGTATCTTGAGGGCTCAGTGCTGCAGGCAGTTGGAGAGTTGGCCTTCATTCAGTCCTCACGGGGGTGTGGTGGTAGTGGTGGTAGTGTGCAGAAGAGAGGCTATTAGATGCCAAATGAACAATAATTTTCTGTAGCCTGGATGCAGCCCCAGTAAACGGATAGTTTCTTTTTTTTAACCCATGTTTTTTCCACTAATGATGTGCGGTTAGCCAGCAAATTTTGAGCAAAAAATACACGAGTGACTGAGTCATGCAGCTGAATGACTGCTGATTTTTTAAATTAATTTTGGTTTCAAAAGAATTTGTTAGTTTATTTTGTGTTTTGTCCAAGTCTAATAAAGGAATGCCTTCTTTTTTTTTTTAAGTTACCCTTTGTTGTTTTGTTTAAATATTTATGTTACATTGTTATATTTTAACGTCATCCTCTGCAGACTTTCACATCTGTGTCCACCTGGAAAAACTAATTGCCATGCTAATTGTGCTTTGTGAATGCCACCACTGTTGTTTATTCATCCTTAGAGCTTCTGGTGGTATTTAAACATAATGCCTATGTATTTTCTCACCACGGTGACCTTTCTTCACAAACCGGGTCTGAAGCAACCAAAGTAATCTTAAGGGGTTGCTGAATTTTGCCAGTAGGTTGATGAACTTGACTTTCAACAAATTTTTTAATGAGTTATGCTTTCATTTTTTTTTAGTTTAGTCAAAGAGTCTAATAAGATATCCTTGGGGTCTACTAATACTCCATTCATTGTTCTCCAAATCGTTTCCTGTTATTTAAAAGCAAAACAAAAAACGCCTACTGAAGATGTTTTCCAAGTTAGTTTCCAAAATAGACAAAAAGAGAGAGAATAACCTCAGAAGGTATTAAATTTTTTATTTAATGTACTGAAGTCTTGCCTTGCATGTTTGATCTGAACAGATGATGTTGCACACAAGTTAAACCCTTTTTGTTTTTATTTTATTTTAATAAGATTTCTCTCAGCAACAGAAAATCTGTAGCAAGCATTGGGATTCTCGCTAGCTGTAGTTGAATGGAAGATCATCGTTTTATGGTGGGAAACTGTCAGTATTAGCTAAAATACAAAACTCGCGTCAGAACTTCAGTAAATAATGCCAGATGGACTGCATTTATATAGATGGTTTATAGTACTTTCTGATCTACAGTCCCCCAAAGTGCTTGTTTGACTTTTCTTTCTGCCTGTATTAGCTCTTTATGACTCAATTGTTTTATCTTAACTTTGAGATTTTACTGTACAAAATGTTTAGTCATCTTAGGTTTTCCTGCCATTACAGATCTTAGCTTTGGCCTCAAAATGAAACACATTTTATTATCAGAACAGTCCTTATTGTTTTGATGGGCTGAGGTGACCTGTGACTGAAGGCTTCAACAGAGTGGATGCCCAGGGCGCCCATCATCCCCTCTCCCCTCCTCTGCTGTCAGTCTGTGAGGCAGGAAACACTTCCTGCCCTTTCGTCACCATGAAGGCATTTAAGTGTGAGAGTCACTCAAACGTGAAACTAAAGTGAAAGTTCTCTCCAGTTGAACAAGTGAGCATGAAAAGTGCAGAATATGAAGTCTGCTGGAAAAGAAATTGCTTTGGTTTAATTTAATCACTCAGGATGGCGAATATGTACATGCCGAATTATCTGTTTCCTGTGGAGGCTTCACATTCCTGCTTTTAAGAGGAAGAGAGGCTGAGGGAGTGACAGATGGCATGTTAAAGTCATTTGAAAATGATGGCCAGGCACTGAATGAAGGCGTGAAGCAAGGACTGAAAACAACATTATTTGGACACCAGAGGAGTCTAATGTGGAGGGAATAACTAAAAGGGCCTCCTGAGTCTCTGCTGCTGTACTCATGGCGTTCGTTATTTGTCCTTTTAGTTGAGAACGAGAGCCACTGCGACTTTGTGAAGCTCAGAGAGATGCTGATCAGAGTCAACATGGAGGATCTGAGGGAGCAGACACATGCCCGCCATTATGAGCTGTACCGGCGCTGCAAGCTCGAGGAGATGGGTTTCAAAGATACAGATCCTGACAGCGAGCCATTCAGGTAGACACACCCAGTGCAACACAGACAATGCGTTTATCGAAAGGCTCACACAGTCAACCAACTGTCAACAGCAATGAAAGGAAACGATTATCTTTTGAAGACTGTGCCTAATCTTTCTTTGTTTCTGTTCTTTGTCCTGGCTTTACTGCTCTGCAGCCTTCAGGAGACGTATGAGGCTAAGAGGAAAGAGTTCTTGGGGGATCTGCAGCGCAAAGAGGAAGAAATGCGGCAAATGTTTGTCAACAAAGTAAAAGAGACGGAAGCAGAACTTAAAGACAAGGAGAGAGAGGTCAGTCTGGAAAAGCCGAGCTGTCGTTTATTTGATAGTCAATTGCACCTGACATGTCTACACATCAACTTCAGGTGCATTTTTGTCAGAAGATCAGAAATATTGTGCACACAGTTTTGCATGGCATCTGTAAAACCTGTTGAGTTCAGCACATTTTAGCATATGACAAAGTGTCTGCACATGTGAATGACCGGACTCTGTTTGTATTGGTTTATCCTAATCACTCATATCTGGCGCCACCGTGAGAAAGTACCAAGACCCTCATCATACTATTTCCCTACAGTGAGGCTCAAAGTTATGACTCAGTGTCAGTTTAGGAAGCTGTGACTACACAGAAAGAAATGCACAGATCAAACACTTTAAATTATTGTTTGTAACTTGACTGTATGTCTGATCTAAGAAAGTTTGTCTTGGCGTTTTTAAATTTTGTGCAGTTTCTACAGTTTACCACCAACTTTCTCAGTGTTGGAAAGAGATGAGTTTTCGCCTCCCATCATAGTATTACGATTGAAATCTACAATAGTGCATTCTTTCCTTGTTGTACTTGAGAAGTGAATGGTGCTAAGGGCTCCCACTAACCATAAAAGCCACACTTTAGGTCTTTAACACCTGCATTCAATAGTTTCTATTTTGTTTTAGTGTCTACTTGTCAACTATACAGGGCCCTCAAAAACACTTTGAGCAGCTCTGCAGTGCATCCAGTGTTATACATACCAAAGTGTTGCACACTGCAATAGCAGATGATGGTGTGTTGTCGATCACAAGGGAAGCAGTGCATGACTAAACAGGGGGATGCCCTGTTTTTCACTGCACTTCATAATATGGTTATTTAAGCTGCTCTTAGTAATATAACCATGCAAGACAAAATTATATACACTGAAAAAATATAGTTCAGTTCAGTTTGAGTATAAAAATATTAGTCAGACAAACTCTTCCTAAACTGCCCTTTCTTCTAAAGTTTCGTCTCACTTGTCCTCATCCCATTTGTCCGTCTCCACACTCGTCTTCTCCCCCTCAGTTGCACGAAAAGTTCGAGCAGCTGAAACGGATGCACCAGGAGGAGAAGAAGAAGGTGGAGGATAAGCGAGGATACCTGGAGGAGGAGATGAACGCCTTTAACAAGAGGAAGGCGGCAGCCGAGACACTGTCCTTATCTCAGCCCGTCAAGAAAGACAAGGACAAGAAAAAGTAAGGCAGTCCCTCCTTTAAGTCACTCACTCGTGTCATTCTTCTCTCAGTAACAGGAAGCTGCTTCTTTTTTAAACTCTACTCCTTTCTTTAAGTAATCCTCTTGCCTTTCACTGTGTGCCTTCAGAACCTGAAATGATTTCCCCGCTGCTCTTGTCTCTTCTTGTTTTGCTGAGTAACACTGATACACGAGGTTAGCATTCTGCTAATTCCCTTGGATTTATGGAGCCTTGAATAGAGCGTATTTGGCTGCTTTAGACCTGTTGTCGACCTGTCTCCAATACACAAGCATTTCAACCATTATAAAGGCCTGGCATGCGTTAAGGAAACTTCCTCTCCTTTTTGTCCTGCCCAAGCTTAACATTTCCTGTGCTTTCACTCTTTCCTTTCGCCTCGCTCTAATTATTCAGGATACTCAGTCAGGAGGTAGTGAAAACCTCAGAAAGGGCAAAACTGATGTTTCAATAGGGGGTGTGCTCATCGTGTTATACTTGATGCTTTCTTTTTAAGTACAGTATTGCACTGAGATGCATAGTGATCTATAGCTCACCCATCACAGGATCAAGGTGCTGCGGTTGTTTCAAAGCCCAGTCGGCATTGTTTTGAAATTCCTTCGTTTAAAGCTGCATTCTAGGAGCCTTCAGCTTGTTTTGTCTTTAGACCAACTTGTTCACATACTGTTGATAAGAGGCTGCTTTCTTCTGGTTTAGTCTTGGCCTTCTGATGGGATAAAATGATAAAGTGACAACCCTTTATATGCAAAAGGTCAAGTACAACTTGACTGTTGAAGCTATAAAATAAGTTTGATCTTAGACCAACATTTTTGCTCAACCTCCATAAAACTCATGTAGTAAAACAGAAGTTTAGCTTGAAGTTTCTTGAAGCTGATAACGTTTTGAAATCCTTATTAGGAGCTACAAAATGCAAGTTCAGTACTTGGAATCAACTTATCTGCTCAGTTTATCATGAAATGACCTGGCCACGAACCTTCTACCTGCCAGTCACTTGTCCTGTGAATATGGGGCACATATATCAACAAATAGCAGTAATTCCTGCACATTCATTCAGGATTTTGAGTTAAAGCTGAAAGTCTGCACTTTAATCTCATGTTGATGATTTCAGTTATTATCCACTGTGGTGGCTTACAGAAGCAAGGCCATTTCAGACAGTCAAACGTGTACAATGTTCAGGTTTTACTTTACTTCTGTCTGTCGTGTAGCTCCTTTTCAGTTCTTTATCTGTGTTAGTTTTGTTTTGTTGGCTGGCGGTCCCTTACACACTGTATCACAATCAGAGCTGGCTTTGAGTGAAGCTTGTGGCCGTCTGAGTGGTTAAAAAGCATCTCGGTGTGTATGCCAAGCTTTGGTCATAGGTGAATGGCAGTGAAGTCTTCATGGTCATTCCCACCAAGTTGACCAGGCTTATGGCTCCATCTTGTGGCCGCTCACGTGCATTACTCTTGTTCCTGTTGCAGATCTTCCATTTTGTGCTTTTCCGAACATCATTTTTGGCCGTTTCACTCAGGACTGGTGTTCGAAGTAATCATCATACAGAGTGTAGTTTAAAAGGTTCACACCTCTTTCACCAGCACACACGCTACGATTTTATCTGAGCTTCCTAACTTCTTTGCTTCAGTGCTCCTTTTCTGATCCCTCTCTTTTATTTCACTTATTATTTCAGTAAAGTCGCTGTTTGTTCATTCGATTTATTTGGTTTATTGTTTGTCGTTGTTTTTCAGTTAATTTTTGGGCGCTGTATACCCTTCCTCACACGGCCATGGATTTGTCCTCCATCACCATAGCAGCGACAACATCTGTTTTTTTGTTGGTTTGTTTGTTTTCGTTTGTTTGTTCTGACATTCCATCTTGATATTGTGCACACGGACCAAAGACACTGAGGATGATGATGATGGTGAAGCCACAGGGAAGAAAAGAGTGAAAGATGGTGAGAGATGATGAGCAAAAATATTCACGTTCCATCAGAGGCCATCTCATTTATTCAGGATCTTTGTTTGTTTGTTTTGCTTTTTTTCCCCCCCCCCTTTGGACACTTTTTAAAATAAATATGTATGTATATGCGTTTTGTTTTGCTTAATTGTGATTTAAATATTTTGTTGTTTTCTTTTATTTTCTTCATTAACTATCCACACAAGAAATAAGAGCTTAAAACCATTCAAACCTTTGACTGTTTGGTACTACAACGTAACACCTGGGCAACATTTTTGAAACTCTTCAGCAAGTATTAAAAAAATAATAAAAGACAATATCTGTAAAGATTTTTGTTTTTAAATACATGATCTTTCTGAAATATTGCCCAGATAAAATGTGTCGGTTAAACTTGGTTAAAGTTAAAGTTGTTTTTTTTTTGTTTTTTTTAAATCAATTAAGCCCAAATAATATACTTAAATAGCAATAACTGAGTACCTGTGTACTGCATATTGCATACACATAGGTGCTGACAACCTAAACCTAATAATCTTAAGTCTTTTTTTAAAAAAGTGTATGCAATATTCTGGTGCTGTTTCAGTTTAACTCATTAAATGTATGTGAATATTTTCTAGAGCTTACCAAGCTTAATATGCAAAATGTACTAGTTTTTAAATCTGATATTGTTATAAGATGCACATATGATTGTGTACATTGTCCGTAAGTGATTTAACTTTATTGTAAACGGTGAGTTGATCGTCTCGATGTGACTGTTATGACAGTGGACGCAAACACAAAGCCAGTATATCGACGTAAACCCAGGATTCAGGAAACTATTCAGTTTGATGTAGACGCGTTTACACTCAGATGTAGAAGAGAGCAGCTGTATTTACTGTGTGTCTTTTGGAAATAAATGCAACCCCCCCTTCCACCCTTCCACTCCTGACTTTGATGCGTCTCTGCCATGATTTGTTTGTCTATATTTACCCAGCGTGGAGCTGAAAGTGAAGCACAGGCAGGTGAAGACTCTCACTCCCTCAGGTGCGCATTAAGACAACACACAGAGGCTGACGGCCCCTCGCTGTAACCAAACAGCTGTCAGCTTGAGGCAGTGTTTCCTGTGTAGCGATCTCTAACTGAAGAACAAAGTGCTGTTTGCTCGGCACACAATCCTCCCTGCTTTCACCATCGGTGCTCACCTCTGTTGGGTGTGGCTGTGTGTTTGTCAAAGGAGTGAGAGGTGAAAAGGTGTGTCCTCCCTTCAGTTTGCATTTCAGCTTTTTCATCATTCCAGTATGAAAATATAAACTATGGTAACTGGGAACAGAGGGGCTCGTATAAGTTGACCCAATTCCTGTCCAGGACTATCTAAATAGAAGAAAAAAATGACCAACTATTAAAGTAAACTCACCCTACTAAACCCGTACGACCTGACGCCGGCCACAATCCTACCCAGTTCCTTCCCCACTTCAGTTTAAGTTCTTTCATTGTTTAGAATTTCTCCAGATTTCTTTTCTGGACACTCCATCGGTAACTTCTTCGCCAAAGGGATCCCTGACCACCCGATTGACGTCATGCGTCATAAAAGGTGGATCTTCATCAACCTCAGTCATCACTGCTGCTTTCTGTGAGCGTCTGCCGGGGCCACCAACTGGGCTCATAAAAGTGAGCGGGATCTTTGTTCACTCCGTCCACCATTCTCTCTCAATAAATAACATTTTCTAATCAAATGCAACCTAATTTACAGAGGTGCTTGCTTGTATTGAATATGACCAAAATATCAGATAGATGAGGTATATAGTATTTTTACTGCACAAAACACTCACTTTGTGTTTTGTTTTTTTTTTTGTTTTTTTTCTATGCTAGACTGTGATGTCAGTGAAGGCAGAAATCCTAATATGGTCATGTCATGATCTGGCTATGAGCCCAGGGGCATCCCCCTTTTTCCTGTTACCAGTGTTAACTAGCTGCTGTATGATATAACAGGTACAGGTATAAGTGCATTTCTTTTCAAAATTTATATAACATGTATATAAATGCTATATTTATTATCAATGAAAAACTACACATACTATAATAATCTGTGAGATATTTTATTGGGTAATTGAGACGGTTTTCCGTTTACTGTGAAGGATCTGCCAGCATTGGTATTATTCTGTCTACAACCTGCAGAGTTCACTGGACCTCATTCAACCCTACAATGTTCAGAGCTCTCTCCTCTGTGCTGTAGTACAGTAACACTGCCAACAAAGCTGCCTGCTAATCACCCTGACAGCCTCCATGTATACTTGGACTGAGACACAACATCAAAGCCAGTGACAGGTGATAGCTGCTGAGATTCATGACGTATTTCAGGGGTTTGACTAGATAAAAGGTTTTTACCTACTTACGACTGATTGCGAGCTCAGATTTTGTGGCTGAACAAACTACAAGCAAACTACCTTGCGCACAGAGATTTCTCCAGATTCTCTAAATCCTTTGATAATATGTACTGTAGCCGATGAAATATTTGCAATTTTATGTTGAGGAACATTATTCCACAGTTTGTAGATGCAGTTTCCAATCTTGTTATTGACCTGCTGCCAAGTAACCAATTAGCTATAAAATGTTTCACCACCTGTTTCTTTTTAGTGTCACTGACTTTTCCGATTTTTGTTGACCCCCCATCCCAACTACTTGATCCTCAAACAACCAAAAAAACAAAACAAAAACAAATCAGGAAATGAGTTTTTATTTGTTGAAATCATAGCTTTATTTCTATGGTAGACAATAAGATATAGCTGCCTCAGTATCTGAAGGAATATGTGTTGCTTGGTTCAGATCGACTTGATGAATCAAAGCAGACTTTACAAATGAGA